GACATGCTGTACACCCTGACAAAGCTGCAGGAGCACAGAGCACTGTAAATGTAAGTACTGTGCAACATTTACCTTTTTTGATCATAAACTGTGCATTAGTGAGCTGCATCCTCACAGTGCTGTTACAGTGGGAAGGCTGAATTAGGAGGCAGAAATGTGCTGATGAAATGTGATGCTGACCTTGTTGTCAGGTTGTTTCACAGTTGAAGGTTTTGTCACACGCAGTCTATTTGTCAGTTAAACACGACCTCCCCAGTTGTGTAACACAGTGGCCCGCTATCCTAGTCACTCTTTAAATATATTTTTGTAATATTGCGATATCTTCGGTGTAAAGTAAGCAACGTCTTTTTGAGGTGGAATAATATTTAGCACATCGTGCTTGAATGAGACTGTATTTTTCTCCATAACTATCAAAAACTCTGAACATAAACATTCTGATGGTGCAGTCATGGTCGAGGTGGCAAACAGAATTCACATTAGTGACAAATGAATTACCTTCTGCTACCATTGGACTTTTTCCAGCAATTATTTCAGAAGATAAGCTGCTCCTGGCAGATGCTGATGCAGCAGCTACTGAATTGAGTTTATTTAGATGGGCCAGAAAAGAATCTTACTTTGAAAATATTCATTTATATGCATTTAAATACTGGTAACTTACCTCTCAAGTGAACTGTATACCTGTGTTTGCTTTTCTTTAGTGTTTTTGTCCTTTCTAGGCTTCAACCATATCTTTATTTATCGTCCTGTCCATTTGTTGTTGAGCACCTTCAGACAGAGCTACTGGAAACTGCATGCCTGCTTGTCCAGTAAAGCTGCTTCTAACTCTCCATTTCAGACGATTTGGCGGTGCATGAAAATATTCACACAGCAGAGAGAATGAGGTCGCCATATTTTCCAGCCAGATCTGTGCTTTTCCACAAGGAGCCGAACGGAGTGACGTACAGAGTCCCAGCTCTGCTCTACCTGCCCCGCTCCAGATCCTTTCTGGCTTTCTGTGAGGAGAGGCTCAGCCCGTCCGACTCTCAGGCTCACCTGCTGGTCGTGAGGAAAGGCACTTTCTACAGGAGCTATGTGGAAGTCAGTGATACTCAATGCTCACTGGCTCAGGGCTGTACAATTAAAACTTGTGCACATATAAATACTGGAGCTTAAGTACATTTTTACAATCAGAAGTTTGATAACAAGTACTTCTTCTAAAATCTATAGCCTGACATAGGCAGAAAAGTAAACAAATGTAGGAAGAAAAGGTCAATATTTTAACAGGTTATAATAAGAAAAATAGTGACTTTACAAAGTAACAGTGAGTTGGGAAAATTTTGATAGTGTTGTTTTAGATTCAACGAATTAAATCAGACTGTAAAGCAAGTTTTATGGCACCTATAATGATTTAATATCATTTAGTGCAAATATAAGTGGTACAATAAAAAATAAATATACTGAAGATTTTATTCAAGTATTTTAACCAAGTGTGGCTGATAAAGTACAAAAATAAAAAACAATAACAAACTTTAAATGTAATTTTCAGATTCTATAATCCTCTAAATATGAAGTTTGTAAAAAAAAAATTAAATAATTACAATCTTTTTTTTAACTTGTTTTGTAATTTGACTGAACAGGCATTTTAAGTAAAATCAAACAGACGTGAGAAGCATCATTTCTTGTGTCTCCTGTGATTCTTCTCAATCGTCATTTGTCTGCAGTGGGAGGACATCCGTGTTCTGGGCACTGCTTTCCTGCCAGGCCACCGATCCATGAACCCGTGCCCGGTCTACGATGAGTTCACGGGCACTCTCTTTCTGTTCTTCATCGCTGTTCTGGGTCACACCTCAGAGTCCTATCAGCTGGTGACAGGGAAGAACGTGACCAGACTGTGCTACGTCTCCAGCACTGATGATGGCGACACCTGGAGTCCCGTCACCGACCTCACCAAGAAGGTCATAGGAGACACTATTAAAGGTGAGGCTCATTCGAAAAAGCGTTGTGCTATTATTTATCTCCAGTTAAATTGGAAACAGCCTCTTTGTCTTCAACAAAAAGATCTAAGTAAGAGTCACAAGATGACAAAATCCACAGTCCCAATTCTGCTTCCTTCCTGGCAGAATGGGCCACCTTCGCTCTCGGCCCGGGCCACGGCATCCAGCTGAAGTCGGGCCGTTTGCTCATTCCTGCCTACGCCTACCACATCGAGTGCAAAGAGTGCTTCGGCCACCTCTGCCAGACCACTCCCCACTCATTCTGCTTTCACAGTGACACCCACGGGAGAACCTGGCGCTTTGGAGAGGCGGTCCCAGGACCAGAGACTGTGGAGTGTCAGATGGTGTCTGTGGACGAAGAGGATGGGACTAACGTGTTATACTGTAATGCTCGAAGCCCTCTCGGGTACAGAGTGCAGGCCCTCAGTCTGGATGATGGAGCCGTGTTTCAGGAGGGGCAGCTGGTGCAGCGGTTGGTGGAGCCTCGAAATGGTTGTCATGGGAGTATTATTGGATTTCCTGCCCCGTTAAATCTGTGTCAGAGTCTTAACAACGATTTACAGCGACCTGTCCGGCTCTCCAGACACTGGACATCCTGCACCACAGAGTCCAGTCTCTCCAAGTCGAGTACCAGCTCTGTAGCCTTTTCAGTGTCAGCAAACAGCTCCAGCACCACCAGCTCCATCCCACCTCCTCATGAAGCCCCTCCAGATTTCCTGACTCCTACGTGGGTAGTATATTCCCACCCAACATGGACGACTGCACGCAAAAACCTGGGCTTGTTCCTCAGCCTTTTCCCCCGTGATCCAGACAGCTGGCGTGGCCCCTGGGTGATCTATGATGGGCCGAGCGCATACTCTGACCTGGCCTACCTGGAGCTGTCACCCTCACCTGGAGCCCCACCTGCTGTGGCCTTCGCCTGCCTGTTTGAGTGTGGTACCAAAACAGCTTACGACGAAATCTGCTTCAGCATCTTCACCCTCTACGAGCTCATCGATAATCTGCCCCGGGACGTCTGGCTGGAAACAAACAACGAAGGACACAGAAAACAGCAGGGGAGGAGCTGTAGACATGATGCTCAAAGTGCAGCAGTTTCCCAACAGGTGACTCCTGTGAAGAAGAGGAGGAAGAAGAGCAAGCTGGCTGAGATGTGCTCTGTGTCTTAATGTAGATTTTAAACTTGTGATACAAGTCGTCCATTAACTGTTTCCTATATTATGCTTCACTTATTTGGACCTGTGCAGACTGAAATGTTCTCAGATTTCATAAAATTCAGATTTTGACACAAATATAGAGCTAACACTTCACTGAAGCACCTCAGGTCTGCAAAAGGAAGATAAAACTCTAGAGACATCGCTCAGTTTTCCCCATCCCTCCACCACTGTGGTCACAGCTGGCATGAGGTTTCTGGGTTTTGTCCCAACGTGGTGCTTTATGTGCATTATGATCAAACATCTCCATCTGTTCAAAGCACATTGTTCTTGTTCTTATTCAGATGCAGCTTTGCAAACCTAAGCTGTGCTGCCTTCTTTTTAGAAGCAAGAGACTTCTGGAAACCCTTCCAACCAAGCTGCATTGTACTTGTTCAGTCTTTTTCTAATTATGCTATTATGAACTTTAACATACCAACTGAGGCCTGTTGAGTCTGAGCAGTAGCTCAGCGTCTCAGGTCATAACTGTCACTTGGATAAAAAGTAAACATTCAAGTTCACAGAGGAAAAGAATTCAGGACTGAGCTGAAGTGTTGGACAGACACTGAGAAGGTGGAGCACTCGCTGAGCTTCTGTCCACCATATTTTCCATCACATCGTGCACACAAGTGACAAAATAATTTTTCTGATGTGTCACGTTTTAATTTGAAGGCGTGCAATAAAAATCTTTCACTTCCTAAAGTATTGTGTTGTTTTTGTTGCAATCTTCCCAGAACCAGACATTTTCCTTTGCTGTCCGGTGGAAGTGGGTTGTTTGTTTTTCCAGTCAATGGAAAATTAATATGCAACCATTATCGTTCATTTGCCGTCAGTAAACTGAATATTTAAGAATGGCAGCTGTTGAAAAGCAGTATTTAATTTTCCATTTCATTGACTAATCCGTGAACAAACACAATGAGTCAAATGGGAGCCAGAGCTTTTAGATAGCAAACCCAGGAGCTAGAACATGCTATCAGGGTTGTTCCTGTGAATTAGTGTCAGATTATTCTTTGCAACAGTCCATTTTGTCCCACAGGTCTGTGTCCAATCTGTTCTTTTTCCTCTCCCAGTCAGTTAACGGGATAAAAGTCGACAGAAACAATCTTACAGTGACGTCTGTGGGGACGTCCCAAATGTGTTTCCTGAACTATGGCTTTCAAGGTCAACAAAAGCATTTGTTTTATTAAAAAAAATTATTGTTCACAAAATGTGAAATGCAGACCACCTAGTTTTAAACATTTTTTCAGTTTTTCCTTTGGCAAGCTGATATTGGGCAGAAACATGTTTAATCTGGCAAAGTAAAAGTCTTCCTCCCCCAAATTTAAGGGACAAACAGCAGCCCAGCGCCAAGCTTTCTGATTAATCACACCTGCAGCTTGAGAGCACAGCAGATAAAGTGGAGCAGTTTGTTTGGATACAGATTGCTGCGGGAAGACAGCAGGATCTGGACAGTCTCTTCTCTCTGCTTCCTCCTCCTCTTTACATAACTCCACTCTCACAGGACAGTCATTTCCCCGCCTGCGCTCTTCCACTGAAGTCGTTACTGTTTTCTCCCAGCGTCCGTTTAAAATAATGAGGCTCGTCGTCGTTCTGGCTGTGTTAATGGGAGTAAGTGGGATTCCCGACGTGACAATCAGCCCTCCGACTGCCTCAGCGGACACGTCAGCTCATCCCAACAGCATACCTGAGACGGCGGATGAATCTGAGCAGGTGAGGAGCAACCCGGTGGACGACTGTTGTGCTGTGGTTTGTGTTGCTTAGTAGCTGGATTTGAAGGGAGGGATGAAATGTTTCCAAGATGTTATTGTGCAATGACTGACACACAGACTCATGCAAGTACACTTGAAGGTAATACGTCTTTGTTGCAATCATTATAACATAAAGACCTTTCTGTACATAGTACAAAAGCCATTATAAGCTCAAGTCAAAACTCTGAGCTTAAACGCTGCCTGCAGACTTAACTGTTGCTAAAATGCAGGTAATAAATAGTCTTTCCACGTGAGGCAGACATTAGGAGGGGGGATTAAACAACTAAAGGAAAGTCAAATCTTGTTTTTGTGTAGAGCCGTGGTTGAGGATGAGGAGAAAATGATGAGTTCAGCTCTTCCACTTGTTCTTCTTCGCTGGCAGCTGTCCTGTAGCCTCCAAGTATTTGTGGATGAGTTCTTCTTGTGTGGCGGGCAGGCAGGGCTGATATCTGCTGTACTCCATGGTGTACTCTCCTTTCCCCTGAATAAACAATGACACAACATGTTAGCAATTCAGCTGTCTTCTTCTACAAACCATGTCTGATTTCAAGAATTTCCTCTATTTTTGTCCGTGCACATCTCCAATCCATCTAATCTTTCTCCCTAAAAATTCTTTGAACCTTATCTAGTTGCCAAAATCCAGGACCTGATCAACACACTTGACGCACTCATCCAAGAAGCCTCCAGTTTTTACTGTGAACTCCAGCTGTAGGCTATCAAAGTAGCACAAATGGGCTACATAGCAGGCGGAGGCTTCAGCAGACTGCATACTGTCATACATGCGTGTTCAAGCCTCTGCTTAGAGCACCAGCTCTGATCTGATTGTTCTTGATGGAAATGTGACTGGACAGACGTCCTGAGATGAGCTCCAGTCATTGTTATGGCAGTACCCCCACCCTGCAGCTGGTTCAGCAGAAAGATGTCCCCCCCCCACCCCTCCACGCTGCCAGAGTAGTGCAGGCCCTCCTGGATGAGGAGCATATCCAGATGCTTCCTTGACCAGCATTATGTTGTAACAAGTTTCCTGTCGAGGATGACTGGGACATGCAGGATCAGCATGCTTATCAGAGCCAAACGCAACCGCTGCAAATGTCCAAAAATGGAGGGCAGTTCTTTGACAACAGATTGAATACTTATACAGTCTTTGCACAGACGGGTGACCACTTTCACCGCATCCACAGGAGGCTTTACCTCATATTAAACACCTACCATATGGTCTATGATATAATTTGAAAAACAAACTTTAATTGAACTCATTCCTCAACATTACCTGACCGTCAGGTTTTGTATGATTTTGAACTTACCTCAGAACAAGAGCGCAGCTCTGTGGCGTAACCAAACATGTCATTTAGTGGGATCTGTTGGAACAAACAGGATGACATTCGAGTTAAAGCAGGACAAGAAAGCGGGTGAAACTGGAGATAAGCACTGTATCGTTTATATTTACTGGACTTACATCAGCATAAAGAGTGAAGTATCCTTCACCCCCATCCTGTCCTGTGATGACGCCGTGGCGGCGGTTTACTCCAGCAATGACGGCTCCTTGAAACTCCTGGGGTGCAACGACTTCCACGGACATGATTGGCTCCAGGATCACTGCGTTGGCCTTTTCCATAGCTGTGGAGAAAACGGTGAACCCAGCGGCAACATAAACCAGATATTTTTCAGCTGAATCGGACACAAATGGAAAAAACAAACAGAAGGGCGTCCTCACCTTGTTTTAGAGCGCCCTCTCCTGCGCGGATAAAGGAGATCTCATTGGAGTCGACCATGTGGTGCGCTCCGTCTTCCAGGAGGAATCGGACTCCTGAGATCTTGTGCCCGCTCAGAGGGCCCTTCTCACAGGCGTCCTTGAAGCCCTGCAGCACGATGGAGGAAGGAGGGAGAAAATCGAGACTTTAAATTTGGAATCGCTTCCACGTGTGTTTAAAACTTATTCTGTGAGACCACATGAAAGTGTTTGCATGCCTTTTCAACAGCTGGCACAAACTGCTTTGGGACGTTGGTTCCAACAGTTTGATCTTCAAACTCCAGTTTGGTGTAATGGTCTGACTCGAGAGGCTCGAGGACCCCGATGACTTTACCGTACTGCCCGGAGCCGCCACTCTGCTTCTTATGGGTGAAGTCAAATCTACGAGAGAGTGGGGGGAACACTTGTTAACATAGAGCGACACAACAGGAAGTAGATGATCCAAATGTATGCACCAATCAAATCAAAGAACCAACATAACCAAGAATACTCTTAAGAAACTAAAGTAGGTTTAAGTACTGCAATGTACAGTTTTATTTTGGGTTTATAACAAAGTATTTGCATATCCTAGGCTGTTTTAATGAGGAAAGATGAGATGTAACTTTAACTATTCAGTACTTCTGATGATTGATGAAATTGCATTTATAAATATGTCTGTTGGGGATCTTTAATTTACTCCAAATATAAGATTGTACCAATACCAAGTATACTTAAGCTCCAGCTCGATCCACTAAAATGTGAACATTTCCTTCATATTTTAACTGAAGCTGAAACTCTCCATTACTATATAACCAAATTTGACCTACTTTACTAAGTTGCAAACATTTGCAGAGGTCTGTTTGCTGCAAAGCGCTGCTTTTTTTTTTTTTTTTAGTCAGGAGGAAGTGTTAAAAAGAGCTCTGTCTCTTTAAAAAGGGGCAGTCCTCAGTGAACTCTACTGTCAGAGGAAGTGGGAAGTTATCTTTCCATTTGCGCGAGGAGCAGCTGACTCGGAACACCGACTGTGGGGGAAAAAAAACATTCCAGTTGGCAGAGATTCACTCCCCACTTTAATTCAGTTTGGGACACTTCACAGCTGCGTATCACTTCACCCTGTAAGAAAACACATGGTTTCTTTCCTGTATTGCTCAGTGGCTGTTGTGAGCAAAGCTGTGTTTGTCTACATAGCTGCTCACACCTAAAGATCAAAGTCCTCCAGGAACTGGAAGCCCTGCACAATAACCATCTTCTGTTCTCATTCACTCCTTTTCCCTCTCCCTCCACTTTCCACCCACAGATAAAGGCACGGACAGAGGAGGGAGCCGAGGAGGATGTGATGGCAACTGGCGAGCTGAACCCAAATCACTACCCTGCCAGGAGGGCAGCTCAGGTGGTCCAACACTACCTCAACACCCGGTACGGTTCACCATTCAGGCTGATCGGAGTGCAGACGGTCCACAGTGGGAACGCAGAGGTCAGCTGACCTTCAACACTGAAATATGTGAATATGCCACTGTAAATAAAAAAAACAACAACTTGAATTTCCACTTTTTCTTTCAGGATGTGGCAGACTCCGGAAGAAAGTATCAGCTGGAGCTCTCGGTGAATGATATCATAACCAATGTAGGACTTTCTTTTTTCTCTTTTTCTTTTAACCACAATGTGAGGAAAAAAGACATAATGGGGGGGGTGCAGCTGCAGCTTCTTAAGAACCACAAAGAGTAATGATCCACCTCTCAAATAGGGTGGAGGTAATCTGAATAAATGTCTTCACCCACTCCCAAACACAGCGTTATCTGTGTTTGCTGCTGCCTATTGAAAGATCCTACAAATAAATCTTAGGTATGGTAAACAATCTCACAGCGTCTGGCTTAGTGTGAGCAGGTCTGACAAGAATGACTAAACAGCCTATAAAAGGAGGCTTATGTTAGCTTGTATGATGGTGTGGTGCAACCTCGACTCATCTGGGCTACATCCACTCCCATTTCTTGCTCACTAAGAATGCCTTTACTATTCGTTTTTTGCTAACTTTGTTTTGTTTAACTCCAGACTACAAAGACTTGCTCTGCAGAGCTTTTCTTTCCAAAAGGAAAAGGGCAACAGCCACCTGAAGTCAAAGCCTCGTGTGAGGAGCTCCTTAAAATTGACATTAAAGCTCAAGAAGAGGCTCTATACCAAAAATACAAGACCAACCAAACCCTGATGTCTGCACAGTACTTACCAGGTAAGTCCAATAAAACAGGCTTAACTGTCCAAGCTACTGCAGTTCCACCCAATCAACACTGAAAGTCAGATTTTGCACAACAGTTGCGTTCAGACATTTCAACACTGTCGGTGCTGCGGTGTTCCTCTAAACATTGACAACACAAGTGCTGTCATCATGAACGCAGGACGCTTGAGATGAGACGTAACTGAGAACTCTAAACTTCCCTCAGACAGCCACGGTCACATCGAGCCCGACATGAAGCCTTTTTGGCATCTGGGCATTCTGGCCTCCAGCTTCATCATGCTGAATGAATCCACTGAAAACACTCTGTACAACGTGGCTCAGGTGGCCAACATCACTCAGCTGGTAGGTGCTTTACAAAAATTTAAATATGAGCTTATTATAAGAAATTGATCACCCCCCCCCCCCCTTTAAGCCCCATGTCTGCACGATTTACTGAATACATACAGATGGTCAATAAAAGTCCTTCATGTGGTAAAACAAGACAGGTTATGTCGGCCATATAAACAAATGTATTAAGCCTTAAAAAAATTTTTTTTTTTTTTTGTTTCCTACAGACAACTGAGGAGGACCACCTGGAGTTTGACTGTCACACACTGCTGCATGAAATGGTGTCCCAGGTAGACACTTGGCTAAAAAATGTCTTTAAAAAGCCTGAAATGCTAAAATAAAACTTTTTATAATCCTAATAGATTTGGTACTTGTGTTGTGTTGGAGTAAATTAAACATGCACTTTACTGCACTCATGCTAAACTTTGCTATTCAATCTGAGCCACATTTTTGCATCCAGAGATCTCGCTGATCTGACATTTTTCTGTGCCGATACAGGAAATCATTCACTGGAAGATGCTGTTTACATGGTCTCCTGCAGAGGGGGTTAAAGTGGTGCAGATGAAGCGGCTGCCTCACCGCCATGAAAGGGAAAAATCTCCAAAGACTAACTAATCTGTGGGTGTTCATCACACAGCCAAGACCACTTATTTGTCCTCACATCTTGTGGGGTCAAATATTGGCGCATAAATGGGGTTTTTTTTGTTGTTGTTTTTTCATGATGACGCTACAAGCACTAGGCACAGATCTACTGCTGAAACCTAGAATTTACACTCTTAAATGCTTTAACTCATAAGTATATGATATACTGAAATAGTTTTAAATGTCTGTGTTTGGTCTATTTTAGCTTAAATAAACTGTTTACAATGACAAAGTATTTTGTGCGTGCTTGTATGTGCGTGCTTGTATGTGCGTGCGCGTAAGGACAAAGACTATCAGGACGTACGGTACGGGACTGGTGATCGTCTCTCTGAAAGCTACTTTGGGTTTTCCCATCACACAGGGGCAGTTGTATTCCCTGTCCATCCTCTGAGAGAAAAAGAAGAGCAAAAATAAACTTGGATTAGATCATAAAGGTTACTCAGAACAGAGATCTGTTAATTTGCAGAATTAAAGCCTTCATGGAAATACTACTGAAGTACTTTACTCCAAACTCCAAAATTAGCCTGAGATAAAGCAACGCTGGTAAGGCCAAAGACACTCACTAAATTATTTGATTCCCTCACTGAATTTGTTAGTTTGCTCACAAAGAAATTAACAGCCTAATTTTTCTAGTAGTTTCTAAAGTAGAGAGACGGAACAAATCTGTTACATAAACATTAGAAATTGATTTGAATGTCCTTGAGCGAAACACGTATTCGATCCCCTTCATCCAAACTGGGCACACAGATTACAATCAGTCAATTACAGACTCCTGATATCAACTTGTGTGTTTAAAGCACACCTGTCCACACAATCAGTTTCTTTCCAATGCACAACAGGGAGAAGAGTGTGGACCTGCACGAGGCTGGAATGGACTACAAGACCAATCCAAGCCCGTTTGTTTCTTTTTAAGTGAGCAAACTTACAGATTCAGCAGGGAGATGAAATAATTATCCCCACGTTATATAATGGATTTGATGAGATGTCCCATGAAACGTGCAACCTGTCTAAGTGAGTACCTGTGAGTAGATTTCCAGATGCAGCTCGCCCATGCCTGAGATGATGGTTTCTTTGTTCTCAGTGTCATAATGCACTCTAAACGTCGGGTCTTCTCTGGTGAAACGGTTGATTCCTTTAGAGAATTTATCCAGGTCGTTCTGTTCAGTCGCACAAGAGGAATTAATAATATGATGGAATGACAAAGAGGTGGATTTAAGACTAGAGTTATAATAAAAGGCACGTCTTTCAGGTTAAACGAGTATTTTTACCTTGTTGGCTGGCTTCATCGCCATGGAAATGACAGGTTCAGGGATGTGAATGGACTCCTGTGGGTGTTAAAAATTGACATCAAATGAAGATGCTTCTCATGAGGCACAAAAACACTTTAAAAAGAAGCAGGTTTCTTTGTCTTTCGGGTGTCCTTTGCTTCTTACCATGGACAGGTCAGCAGTTGTCTTGGATGTGAAAGTGTCTCCGCTGGCACAGTCGATTCCAAACAGGGCACAGATATCTCCCGCATAAACCTCATCCACATCCTTTCAAAGCAGAGAGAGAGCACAAAAAGCAGGATGATTGTTTTTTAAAAAATGATGATAGGAATGACTAAAAAACAGTTTCACATCTTGTTTTGATAGAAGATGGGTGCAAACATGTTGTTTTGGTGTCACAGGGGATGTGGTTGATATCTACACACTTGATTAAAGCCAAAAAGAGGAACCCAATCTTTCTGACCAGTCATGCTGCTCTGCTGTTTAATGTGCAAACCACAGATGGAAAACTGTGACCTCTCACAGCCTGCTGACGCAACGCCAGTTTGCTCTCACCTCCATCTGATCAGCATGAAGACGCACGAGCCTCTGAACTCTGACTTTCTTGCTTGTGCGTGTGTTGTAAATATATTCTCCCTTCTTCAGACAGCCTTGATACACTCGTATGTACGTCAGCTGACCAAACCTCCCGGCCTGAAAGACAGGAAATAGCAGAACATGACAAACTGAAGTATTTCTATTGCACAAATGTGCAGAAATAGAGAGATCACGAGGACATGAGACAGAACAGATGCTCTCTGTCAAACTGAATCACCTCCAGTTTGAAAGCCAGACCAACGTAGGGGTTTGCAGAGTCTCTCGTTGGGTCCATTTGAATCTTTTTGGTTTCAGTGGAATCTCTAACAGAGTGGAAAAACCCGCCAATGTTAGTGGAAAAAAACAAACAACTTTTAATCTGATTTTGATTTAAATCTACAGTTTCAGGACACTTTGCATGCAAACTGACGTTCCTCTTCATACTCACTCTTCATTGAGGATGGCGTAGTTTTTGACTTCACTGGGGTTGGGCAGGTAATCCAGGACGGCGTCCAGTAGAGGCTGGACACCTTTGTTCTTCAGCGCTGTGCCCACCAACACTGGGGTGAAGAGACGCTGCACCGTAGCCCGGCGGATTGCTGCCTGGAAGGCAGTGAGGTGAAAACTGATTGAGACAAATGCCTTTATCTCTTCGCTGATGTGAAATGTTAATCTCAAAATTTGGATGTGAAAATTCTGAATGATTTTCAGGATTTCTATACAAACTTTGGGGTAACTGGTGATGCCAAATTTGGTATTTCCGGACTGATCAAAACTGACTCTCAGATATGTTTGCTTCTTTGGATCGCCACCACTTGTATCAAGTCTGAAATACAATCACCGGTCACTTTATTAGGTACACCTTGACAGTACTGGGTTGGACCCACTTTTTGCCTTAATTCTTTACGACAAAGGAAACATTCCTGAGGTATTTTCATCCATGTTGACATGAGAGGATCGCAATGTTGCTGCAGATTTATCAGCTGCACATCCATGATGTGAATTTCATGTTCCACCACATCGCAAAGGTGCTCTACTAGGTTGATATCCGGCGAATTGTGGTGTTCATTTGAGTACAATGAACTAATTGTCACGTTCAAGAAACCAGTTTGAGATGATTTGAGCTTTGTGACATGATGTGTTATCCTGCTGGAAGATTGGTGCACAGTGGTCATAAAGAGAACCTGCACGGTCAGCAACAATACTCAGGTTGGCTGCTGCATTTAATCATTCCTCATAGTACTAAGAGGCCAAAGTATCCCCCACACCATTACATCAGCACCAAACTGAACTGCTGATAAGAAGCAGGATGGATCAATACTTTCATGTCGTTTATGTCAAATTCGGACCATCTGAATGTCACAGCAGAAACAGTCCTCAGACCACAGCACCTTTTTTCATGTAAGTTGTACCGTCAGTTGCAGTCTTCTGCTGCTGTAACCCATCTGCTACAAGGTTCAATGTGACGTACATTCATTATCTTCATTTCTTGGTTATAACAAGTGGTTATTTAAGTTATTGTTGCCCTACTGATCTTTTACCTATGGGATCAACAAGGCATTTACACACAGACGATTGCTGCTCACTGGATGTTTTCTCCTTTTCTGACTATTCTCTGTAAACTCTAGAGATGGTTGTGCAGGAAAAACCCAGGAGATCAGCAGCTTCTGAAACCAAGCTGGTATCAACACCCATACCACATCCAGAGTCACTTAAATCACCTTTGTTCCCCAGTCCGATGCTCAGCTTGAACTTCAGCAGGTCATCCTGACCCTGTCTACATGCCTAATGTACTGAGTTGCTGCCATGTGATTGGCTGATTAGATATTCAGATTAACGAACAGTTGAACAGACGTACCTAATGAAATGACCAATAACTAGTGACTATACCTCAGATACCAGCGGGTTTAATTGAGGATTTTTTTTGTTTGTTTGTTTGTTTTTGTTGGAGTTTAGTTGACACTGTTAGATTTCACACAAACTGGTCTCTCAAACCTTCAGATCATCTTTGGTTGGAATTTTTTCCTCCAGGAACATCTCTCCCAAGATTTCATCAGCATTGGCGACACACTCCACCAGTTCCTGCCTGCGGTCTGCGGCCTCAGCTCGAAAATCTGCCGGGATCTCATCATAGCGCATAGTTTGCCTGCAGGAAGCACGACGCAGCTTTAAATATTTTATACAGATCAGACTCGTAAGGAAACTTGGTCTTATCCACAATTTCTATGGGACTGATGCAGATCGCAACAGTTTAATTGTACAATAGCTGACCTTAAGTCTAATTCATGGCAGAGGGAAAATAAAAACCACCCATTTACACATAAATTCATCTTACCCAAACTGTCCTTCGAAATACATGCTCCGCTCCTCTATGAGGTCAATGATGCCACGCATGTTCCCCTCCAGCCCGATGGGGATGTTCACAAACGCTGCGTTGTGGTTCAGTTTGGATCTTAAAAAAAGTAGAAAGTTTCTTTAAAACTGCGAAAAAATCCAAAGAAAGAAACACACAGCTGCTTACTGCAAGAACCTAAAGAGCTCCTGTATATTCTCACATTTTACTGCTCTTTGATTTCATGCAAACTAATAAAATAATAAAAGTCCAGGAAAAGAAACGTTGAATACACCAAATGTGCAAACAGACAGGGGAAAAATATTGATTACTACACTGCAATCTAGTGTGCAATGTGGAATATGGGTTAAATATATTTGTTTTATTGCATTTACAAGCTGTATTATTGATTAACAAGTTAGTCTTTGTGTTTGCTGCATTAATGAAACACTTAACACTGCCAGACTGGCAGACATGAAAAAGCTGAGATACAAGGACTGGTCTACATTTTCTCAAGGGATTCTTCTGGCTAAAGATCCGAAGACTGAAACATAGAGTTAAAAATAAAAGTCCAACTACAGTGTGTTTGATCACTTTCAAGTTACCTCTAAGGATTTAGGGAGTTTATGATTTTGTTTTTTAAACTGCAACCTATAATACATCCTTTAAAGGCACCCAGGTCCATCCAAGAAGGTCACTGTGGCCCCTCAGCTGATATCTTAAAAGTATAAGTAGAATTAAGTCACATGGTTTGGTAATGGAAATGTTAAATACACACATTGCTGATAAGTTAATACAATTATCACCTAATCTGTATTATTATCCAGTTAAAAACTGCTTAAAGCACCAATCGTGGTGCCTGAAGAGGACATTCATGTTGGAGAACATGGGCCTATGCAAGTGAGACCTTAGGAAGTCAGCTACTCCTTAAATAACTTGTCTTTAAAGCATGCTCTCACCATGAGCATACTGTGCGTTTATGCTTGTTATGCACACCAGGTCAAGATGTGGTTTCAGATAAGTTGTTTATGCTTCAATTTTGCGTAGGTTGTAAAGGTGGCAGAACTAATCTCTCCTCAGTTTTTCTACCGACGTCTCAAAGCCTTTCAAAGCTGTTTGCTCATCCAGTCCATACACGTTATTCTTCAGTCCTCAGCCCTGTGGTGTAACGTCAAACATGCCGATGCGTCTGACTGTTCTCTCTGTGTGACGTGTGTGTACAAACCGTACCTCATCTGCTGCAGGGCTCGTCCGGGGTTGGCGCCCATTCGGTCCAGCTTGTTGATGAAGGTGAGGAAGGGGACGCTGTAGCGTTTCATTTGTCTGTTTACCGTCATGGTTTGACACTGGACGCCTCCCACCGCGCACAGAACCAGCACGGCTCCATCCAGCACGCGCAGCGCACGCTCCACCTCGATGGTGAAGTCCACGTGACCTGTGAGGCACATCGAGTTCAGACGCACTCAAAATGAAAGTGCTGAAAATGTACCTTCACACCCCTTCACATTTCTACCGCTGTTAAAGAGTTGACAGAAAAAAAATGATCAAAGCAGGGACGTTGCAACTGCATGACTGGTTCTGATTAAATGATAGAAATGCTAACATACAACATAGATGACTCGGGGCCACTGACACTCTCTGTTGAGAAAAAAATGTCTGGCTTTTACGTGAGACTATAACATTCAAAGTTCTTTCAACTTTTATCCTCTGTTAAATTTTTGGTGGAGGAAAGTTACAATTACATCAGCTCTGAATCACTTTTCCACTTCCAAACAGACAATGTGAGCAGCTTTAGATCCTCAGGTGCACAAAAATGTTTAAAATACATTACAAATAAACAATCACGCCTCACTCTACAACACCACTAAGGTGCGAAGACTACAGCACACTTTAATTTTAATTCACGTGGCTTCTGTGGCAAACCACACAACAAAGTAAAGCCTAATATTACCTGAATACTAGAAAGGCTTTAAAGAAGAGCCTGAGCAAGGCTGGATTTTGATGCTGTTGCAGTTTTATAGAGAGCTAAAACAAACAAAAATATCAACCGATTTTGATATCGGATGTGTGTTTTTGTTTTGTGTTTTTGAGCCGCGTGACTCAAATAAACTGATCAGGACAGAAGGAAAACCAACCAATGACATCAGTGCTGTGAAAATGTATTATCCCCTGCCTCGTTACATCATTAACTGTCTAACGACATTCTTTTCAATTTCATTACCCACAAACAAGTCTAATTTCTACTGTAGAATAAACAAATCACTGACACAGAACCTGTCTGACAAAGTGAAGTGATGCTAAATGATCTCAAAAAGCAACGCATCTCACATCATGTCAAAAGCTGAGAAACAAAGTCATTGACATTTATCAGTCTGGAAATGGTTATAAAGCCATTTATATTGGATTCCTGTGAACTACAATGACAGGCATCATCCACAAATGGAGAAAACAGTGGTGAACTCCAAGAGTGCCCTGACAACGCATCCAGGAGGTCACAAAAAAAACCCAGAAAAATGTCTGCATGCCTCACTTGCCTCAGTTAAGGTCAAAGTTCATGACTCAACAAAGGATCTTCTCACATTTGCCAAAAAACATAGGGAAATGAGGCTGCTTCAGGAGTGATTTGAACAACTTGCAGAAAATCTTGAAGGAGAATGTCTGACCATGAGTTTTGCCCTGAAGCTCAAGAGCACTTGGGTTCTTCAGCAGAACACACCAGCAATTCCCCCTCTGACTGGCTCAAAAAATAAATAAATAAATAAATAAATAAATAAATAAAATGAAGGTTTTGGATGGGCCTAGTCAAACCCATCTGTCACTCCTACAACACATCACCACTGCCTTGCTGTCCTCATGCATGTCCTGCACCACCCTCACATACTTCCCCGTCACTCCCGACTTCCTCGGTATCTCTTGGCACCCCATCAAATGCTTGTCTAGATCCAAAAAAGACACAGTGCAACTCCTTCTGACCTCCTCTATACCTCTCTATCAACCCTCTAAAATCAAATATATCTGTAGAGCTCTTTTTAAAAATTAAGGCGCTCACTGATCATCCCCTCTGTTCTTAACCTAGTGTCAACAACTCCCTCCCCTAGCTTTACCGTCTGGCTCATCAACTTTATTCTTTGTAGTTACTACAACTCTGCACATCACCCTTTTTTGTGAAAATCAATACTAATACACTTCTCTTTTCTTCAGGCATCCTCTCACTCTCCAAGACTGTGTTAAACAATCTGGTCAAAACGGTCCATTGTCTTCTCTCCTAGACATCTCAATACCTACACAGGTAAGTATCTTCATAGCTGACCTCACTTCCTCTACACTAGTAGCAGAGCAAGAGGTAAAAACTGCTCTGGAGTGAGTACGGATCAGTCTGTCGATTCATTTTTGACCATTTACTGACAGTTAATGAACAGGTAATACTAAATTACCCTACCTGTGCAGCTCACCTCAGCAAACGTTACTTTGTAGTTACACAAAGCACCACAGTAATGAGTTACATTTTTACTAGGTGTATGTCTAATTACCTGGCGTGTCAATTATGTTGATGTTGTAATCTTTCCACACGGTGTATGTAGCAGCTGACTGGATGGTGATGCCTCGTTGTCTCTCCAACTCCATGGAGTCCATAGTGGCTCCAACGCCATCTTTCCCCTTCACCTAAACAACACAGGTGAGGGAAAGCATTCGTGAGCCTCACCTAAACGGAAAAAAGAGCTTGATAAAGACAATGAAACGGACTCACCTCATGGATTTCTGCTATCCTGCCGGTGTAGTAGAGCACGCGCTCGGTCAGGGTGGTTTTCCCAGAGTCGATGTGAGCGGAGATCCCGATGTTGCGGATCCTCTCGCTTGGAAAGACACCGGAGGAGCAGCTCCGGCAGCTGTTGATGAGCACCTGAGGATATGAAACATCCCAGTTCACTCGATCTACCGACTGTGAAACAAACTGGACTGAGGTCAAGTCAGCAGACCCGGGTTAGATAATATTACCTTTTTAAGTGTGACGGTTCCTCGCGCCGAAAGATGCGTTTTAGCTAAAAACATGCCTGCTTTTAACACCCTCATCTCGGCAACAGCTCAGTGGAGTACAGCTTGGTCGTAGTATTGCCCTGTTTAGATGACCCCGGTGCTGCTGACACCCCGGTGAAAGTCACGCCGGGACCCTAGCTGCTTGTGAAACGACTGCTTCCGGGTTTACGGAAGCCCAGAAGTACCAAAATCACAAACGTTTAAGTTTTCTCTTAAAACGCATTATTTATTTATTTGTCCCCTTTCTTTCTTTTAATGTTATTTAAATGTTAACGTGTTTTGAAAAGCCAAACGTGTTTAGCCACGAATCTTAATTTATCTGTTTGAAGAATTATTTTTTAGGAAATAAAAAATATATCTCCAACTTGCACATGAAAAATATCTGAACCTTTGTGTTGACTGTCATGTCTATTTTATTTATCACCTATAGCACATTTAAACAACAGAAGTTGAACCAAAGTGCTTTATAAGCAAGCACATTTACATTCCAGGTCTTAAAGTAACCCAGTTTCAAAATACATGACAAGTTGAAAGGTGTGTTTCGTTGTGTTAACTGATTATTGTGGAAATTAAATTCACAGTCGTTAAAATCAGAATTAATGATGATTCATCTCATAAATCATTACACACTGCTCTTCCCTTCATAAGCCACCTTTATAAGTTAAAAGTATCGGCATCAGTATTGGTATCGGCAATGATGGCCTTGTATTTATTTGGTATCATCAATACCAATTTTTTCTTCAGTAGCACACTAACAGCACTAGCAGTTAGTGTGCGATACTGAAGAAAAAAAAAAGAGGTAATATCTCAAGATTTCAATTTACATCTGAAAACTCCAAATTTTAGTCATTAAATTGAAATTTCAGCATATTACGTTGTCATTTTTACTTACAGATAGATAAAAAGAAATCACGGGCATTAACAAATTTCCATCCCATACTTCTAAATGTAAGAAATCCCAAATTATTTCTGGATGGTCAACTTTGGTATTTCTTGACTATCAAACACAAAAAAAATGCAAATATAATTTTTTAAGCTACCTTGCTGTTACGATGTTTACGCTTTTGTTTTATCAGACTAAAAAAAATTTAACCTTTCTCAATTGTAAAGGTTACTAACGGTTTTTCTTTAGCGCCTAAAAAGCCAAAATTCGTGGTGCACTTGAAGGTAACTCCATTAAATGACCTGTAGGCCACCGTCGGATCATTTTGAGTAGGTTTGTGACGTTTTCTTAGACATAATAAAGATTGTTTTGGGTGACAACATTTTGTTTGGTCGCCTTCTTCTTGGGTCTTTTCTTATTTACCGTACTTGTGGTCGTGGTTGCGTTTTTAACTGAGCTAAATCGTGTTTCTTTTTTGTTTTTTTTGTGGCCGTTACGTCTTGTCGTTTGGAAGCTCGTTAGCTTGTGCCACTTCAGGTGTCTCTGGAAGTTACTAAGCCTGAAAGTTAACGACACTTGCCTCCGTTTTACCAGCGCTTCCTCTTTTACTTTAACCACATGCTGATACTTCACTTCGTGCAGCAGCGATTCGCACACACTAGCTGAACAGCTCATGATCACAGACACATCATCATTTTCACGTCCTGCCAGGAGTTTTTAAAAACCTCTGCATCCCTGTCAGCTATTTTTAACTGTATACCATCGGAGGAGCACTTCAGGATCAGTCAGGTAAGATTAGCTCAAGTTTTTGTGTATGTGTGTGTTTTTTATCCGTTTGGTTGTTTTGCTTGGCTGAAAACGCGCAGATAAGACTTGTCTCTTCTTATTGTTTGATCACAGGAAACTGGTAGGGGCGTTTTAATTTAGGGCCAAGTTAAAATCAGGATTTTAAAAAGCTCTAGTGCTGCCCAAGCTCAAATTGAAAGTGTGTGTTAAACCGCCCTTTAAACAAATGACTTACTGATAAGTCTCTTCATTTAGATTGGCTGTGTTTTCCATTTTAGCCACAAAGTGTACGCTGCTGATTGAACAAACAGATGAGTGGTTTTGATGGCAGTGCTTTACTGCCATTTATCACCCTGAGATCTATTTTAAGGGAGTGTTGTTTTTGTTGTCGTTTTAAATTTATTTTATTTTGTTGGGGTTTTTTTTAAGACTTGTTTTGAAATGATCAACTTCCCATAAACTATGTGTCACTGTATGAGCCCCTGCGGATGGCACAACATTCACAGTTATACAGGCCAGCGTGAGTCATTATATAGGATTAGTTATTATTTGGATTATGAATATAGTGAACTGTGTGGTTCTGTATGAGCTGTATTTTCCTTTGTTATCCTTGCTGTCTCATTTCCTGTAAGCACTCCTTTTGAGCTGTCACAGCAAATAACAATCACTTTACCTCACCGTGTTTCATTTATAATGTCAGAAAGGCTTGAAACGGCTTTCTGATAGAGGAAAAGTCATGATTTGACCCTTTTTAAACACTACTGTCTTTTGTATTTACATGAGAAATGTTGCAAAACAGCAATTCCTATGAGCAGATAGAGGAAGTTGAACCTGTGTTTTGACATAGCTGACTAGAACGACTGTAAATGCATTATTAAAGGGAACAACCTGTGCTTTTTCTCGTTTTCTATTATTTATATATAGTGAATGATCAAATTAAAAAAATAACAAAGGAACAAAAGTTAAGTAAGTGGGGTTAGCCTACCAGCAGCCTGAAGCGTCAAACTGCTGGTACACTGTACATAAAAGATGGACATGGCCATAGTGACATCACCTGTTGTTCATGAGTTCTCATTTTGAAGCACTGAGCCTAGCGTTGTTTCCGTCGCCATCTTGGTGGTTTGAAACTAACCGTGATAACAAGGCGGATCAGGCGAAGAATCCAAAGGAGGCTGCAGCCCCGTAGGCTGGTAGCTTGTACAGTCGTTTATTGGAGATAATTATTTTCAAAAAATTCAAGTTTGACTTTAACACAAGAAGGCTTGAAACTACCAACCAATACCATCAACACATCAGAAATAACATTAATAACTGCTGTAACAAAACATTTTCCCAAGTATTGGATAAAGTGTTTATTGTATCCAACTTATCTTGAAAATAAATATAGAAAAATCAGAGGAGTCGCCCTCTGCTGGCCTTTACAAAGTATGCAGGACATGCCGCCTTCTTCCATCTTTTCTATACAGGTAGTGAGACTTTTTTAAAAATTTATTTATGAGGGGCAGCAAATCAGAAGAAATCTGAATTAAAGAGGAGGGGAAGTGGATCTATGAGTGTTTCAGATAGTAAATGACTTCACAGGCAGCACCAAGGCCCAGTATAAGATAAAAGTGGGTTATTTTGCATGCTGTATCAGAATAGACAAAAGTACTCTTGTAAAGTCCATGAATAAAGATAAGTTAGAAGGGATCTTAATAGTTTAACCCTTTAACCAGTGGAAACAAGTTACGTCATAAAAGTAGACCATCTATATGGGCGAATTTGCTGTTGCAGCGATGAGCATTTAACATTTGTCTTCTTAAATAATCAAATTCTGACATATTAATTTAAAGTGATTGTTCTTTGCCTTGAAAAATGTCCAAATTATGTAATGCTGACTATTTAAACTCCTAATTTAGACATATCAATGCTTTGTTATATGACCACTATTCCCTATTGGGGGAAAAAATTTTATTTTTATTTTTATTTTTTGAAAGAAACATAAGGATAGCAGTCTAAATGAAGCTTACTGGGACAAATGAATCGTGTCCAGACACAGGAGGGCAGTATTAGACAGACGTGACTAATGGTGAAACTGACTAAATCTCAGTGAAACTTTTACAGTTTTCCCCCACATCAGCCCCCCCTGTAATATTTAAATCTTTGTTCTTGTCATATTTTCCTGTAATTATACTCCAGTGCAGTTTCCAGTGAGCCTTTATCTGACAGTTTCTGTCCTGTCGTCTGGAAATAATATGTGACTTTTAAGGGTGATTAAGCACATACGAGTTTGCATTCTTGAATCAAGCGCTGGTTTAAATGTGCGTTTGTTTTTGTATTATCATTGTGTCATCGGGGACTCTTTAGGTAAGGTAAGGTAAGGGTTTAGGGTTTTATTTGTCTATTGTCCTTGCAATTTTATTTACTAAATCACACATCATCTGCTTTTTTCCACAGATCAGTATAATCCCAGATGATTAACAGGGATTGATCAATAGCACTAACTGAAGTGTGTGATTAATGGATTACCGTTGCTTGATGGAGTCACTGGCTAAGTAGTTTCGACTGTTTTCTAAATCATACTTTGAGGGTGTGTCTGGGTCACTGCTACTATTACGGCATGCAGGATGGGCCAAACTCGCTCTGCTCTATCGCACAGCACTGCCACCCGTGGCAGAGCGAAATGGAAAGCGGGCGAGACAGCCCGTCGACTTCGTATCCGCAGACCTGGGAGCGGAGAAAAATCGAAAAGTGACCAGTTAAACAGGAATCCGATGAAAAATAAAGTGCTGTCGTATTTGGGAAGGAGAAAGCGAGACTCTAGTCAGGGGGAAGCGGATTTGGGTGGCGGAAACGCAGCTGGAGATCCAGCAACGCGCCGCGGCCACAGAGTAGGAAAGTTGCCGAGGGACGAGGTGGTGTCGGGGGTTGGGGAACAGCGAGCAGCCGCGGGTTGTTTTGACACGCCATCCGGGTTAGATGGAAATACTGAACCGACACAGCACGTCGTGAACCGTGAAGCAACCGCTGGTTCATCCGATGCACCAGGCTTGGAAAGTAAGAGCTGTGAAGTCAGCGGCGCGGGCTGCGAGGAGCCGAAACCCGTGCGAAAGAACAATGCCTCGGATCCCCAGACGAGGGCCATGGAAGATAAGCCACTGGGGGGAAGCAACCACGATCCCATTGTGTCTCAGGATCGAGTATTAACTGGAAATAGCACGCGTTCATCCAACTCACCCCCTCTGAAGACCTCTGACCCGGACACTGAGGGGATTTTGTCTAGTTTGGCCTCGGATCAACTTTTGGACTGTGGACTTTCAATTAGGGACGATCAAGCCGAGGCTACAATGACAAAAACCGACTGTAGCACCGTTTCATGCACACCCAAAGCGACCGGCAAACTGAACAGCAGCTGCCCGGTTGAAACAAAGAGCCAAACGGACTCTGATCAGACCAGCCAGAGTCCACCAGGAGGCCAAAGTTTCCCAGGAACCATACCCAAGCTCATCATAACCAGAGACCCCAGTCCGAACCGCTCACAGGTTG